AAAGCAGAGCAATACCTAAGGGGAGTGGGGGAAAGAGGTTTTCTTAAGTGGATGAGGTCAGAATTTCTTTGCCTGTGGTCTTGTATGTTCATATTCCCTCAAGGAGTATAGTCACCATGTAAGGTGAAATGCCATTCTGGTTAATGAAATGTATCATTTGGGGTGTGAGGTTCAACTTCTTTTTTGTTTTATTTAAAGACCAAGTTCCTAAGAAGCTTGCTTTAAAGTATTTCTAATTGAGTTCAGAAAAATGGCCACTACTTCAATTTGCAAGAAATGGGTAATAAAAGTGTTTTAACTAAAAACTGCTGTGTGCTCATTTGAGATTCCCTAGTCCCCAAATAGCAAATCTCTGAAAGAATCAAGCAGCAATGGGTGTTCCAGATAAAGAACAAACTAGTTGCCCCTAGTCCTCACCAGGCCAACACATTGTCTTGCACTTGATCTCATGGGTTATCTTGTACTCTAGTGCTGTCTCAAAGGAAATAAACTATAAACATCTCATTAACCTTTTCCCATTCAAATTTCTTTCCTTATGATTTTGCTACCTCAGTAACTTTATTTTGAACTGTATAATCCACTATACATCTAGAGTCCTAATTAACTTTAAATATTCTCACCTAATTATTTACTAGAAGGTGTGATAAGGAAGGCAAGTCCTCCGCATATTTTTATTCTCCACAAATAAGCTATGTCTATTCAACTGGTCAAAAGGCAGGAGGCATTCCTGGAACAAAAAGAATGAAGAAAGGTATCCACCAGATTATTATTTAAAGGTCTGAAAATGTTCTCTCTTCAACCTGAGGAGGTCATCCGCCAGAGTCATAAAACTTGTTAGGAGAGAATAATTTTACTTGAATGTCAAGCTTGGGTACCCTATAGAATTCCCTCAGAGCTTTTCAAATTTTCCATTCTCAATTGCCACTGTACAGGGATTCTGACTCATAGGGTGGGATCTTGGTCACTGGTGTTTTTCAATAGCTTGGATGGTGGGCATCCAAGGTTAAAGGTCACCATTTTGGATTACAAAGTTTTCACATACATTGTCTAGAGTTTTGTATATAAAAGAAGGCAAAGATGAAAACTTTGTGGTGTCTACTGACTGTATAAGGAAACAGGAAGTGACAAGAATGTCATTGTTAAAATGAAAAGATTACAGAAAAATTAATTTCTAAAATTTGGAGGAAAAAATCTCTCACCTTTGTAGGACTAACACACAAAGGAATGGAAGGCTCCAGAAAATAGTTGACTTAGTGAACTTTCATTTGGAGTCATTGATTTGGAGCTCTTAAGGATCAAGAATAGCAATAAAAGGATGGGAAGAGCCTCAGATGGAAAAGGGAGTGTAGGTCACAGGAAACAAAAGCAGCAGGACTGGCCTGTGCTTTCAAGAACTTGACAGTGAGGAAGAAAGAGAGGGCAGTCACTTGAAGGGGTAAGACATGTAAGGGAAAGTGTTCTTAAGATAAAAAGAAGCACTTAAATCTAGTTTTGTTCTTAAGATAAAAGGAAGCGCTTGAATCTATTTTAGACAGAGATAAAGGAGCCTCAGAGGATGAGTGAAGATGCATAGGCACTGCTGGGTAACCCCAACAAAAATATGCCCATGGCAGAAATCACAGAAAGATGAGGTTCTGACCTGTTATCTCCTTTACTGTAGCAGAACTTAAGGAGCTCCCGTGCACAATTGTCTTAGAGAATGAGGTATCATCTAGGGCAGGGGGAGGCAGCCCTTATTATAGACAGTCTTCATATATAAATGTCAGACTTTAATGCTTATACCTGAAACCCCTCTAAGGTTATAAATCAGTGTTACTTCAATTAAAAAAAATGTTTTAAAGTAAGATAACTTCCATTGGATATAGAAGAGGAAATTTTGATAATGAATTTGGGGTCTGTAATAAATTTGGGGATTTCATTTTATAAGTACTACTTGCAGATTGCATAATGTGTAAATATTCTGTTTGTAAGAGAGGGGAGAACATCTTTATCCTGCTTTTTGAAAAGAAATACTTAAATGCACTAGTAGCTGAATGTTCCTTCACTCACGCTATATGAATCAAAAGCTTCCTGAGAAAAAAATGTAAGTATAAAGGCAAAACTATTGATGGTGGTTAGCTGGTTGACTTTCACTGCTCTAGACCTAGGTAGGACAAAGGTTATAAAACATTCAACACACAGTCTGCTCCACTGTCCTGCCCTTCCCTATCAAGCAGGGGGAGGGAGTGATACTGGGCACAGGATGTCATAAAGGAAAAGAGGAAATGGAAAAGGAAGCAAAGAGATCAATAGAGACTCTGTGTTCCCAGGGAATATGCAAGCCCTCCCTCTTCTGGGGGATGTGCTGGGCACCATGTGTGTCCCTCTGTATTCAGAAATGGTCCCCTGGGTCCCATTGCTATCGTTTTGCTACACAGTTCCCAGACATAGAGTAAAGCACTGGAGGTTGTTAGCACATCTCCCTCTGGAGATAAAACTGGGCTCAGCACCAACAAGAGAATACCAGAGGGAATTTGTCTCTCCTTTATGCTTGGATAATGGCTGTTCCCTGATACCCAGGGAAAAATTAAGTTCAATACATGCCTTGTGTTATATTGCACACTCAATCCTGAACAGCTGGGCTGCTAATACAATTTAAAAATAAAAGATAACTGGCTGATCACCATCTATATGTTAAGTATGCAAAATTAATCTCTCAATGAGGAGTATAAAGATTTCCTGTTTCTCTATAGCCTAAGGAAGGAGAGCATTAGGCGGATGTCCAGTGAGTCTCATTAACAGAGACAACCAATACGGAAAATCCAGGGGGACTTGTCCCATATTTCTATTAGTAATGGCAATTATTTCCACCTGAAAAATACTAGTAATTTTCTCACTTGCAAAATTCACTTTGCCTAAGGAGCAATAAGTATGCTTTTTCTTAATAGTGATATCCTCCCTGTGCTAGAAACTACCTAAAAATAAAGCAGCATTTGACACACTTTTTTGCTTTATTTGTGAAAGATAAAATAGAAGAGCCATCCCCGAATATTTTTTCAAGAAAATGGAAATAACACAAAACATCAGACTTAAATAAAATTCCATATACTTTATGTGACATACCTACTTTAAGATTAGTAAAATGGATTAGTGGTGACAGACAACTGATGTTGCAACAGGAACTTTAGTTCCTGCGGAAATGGGATAAGGGACACAGCAGTCATGGGGCTGGTTTGCAAGGCAAGACTCTGGTACTTGAGCAGAAGTTCTTGCACCATTCATTAAAAGCATGCAGGCTAGTAAAAGCTGATCATCAACAATGGTATGAGGAATAAAGTCCGGAAGGTGAGATAGGAATGGGGAACAAAGTTTTACAAGGGACAGGGAAGGGGGCATTGTGACCATGTGTCAAGAGCCATTTGCGTCAGCAAAGTATTTGATGTTATCACAGGCAGAATTATCCCAAGACCACCATGGAGATAGTCATGTAATCAGGTCTGCAGCGGCCTTGGCATCCCTGGGCCTGCCTTGTGATACAGCTATACTCCTCCATAGGTAGTCAAGGAATTCTCTGCTGTGATTTATAGATAGTAAGTAGGTCACAGTTCCCCATGAGTGGCCAGCTAGTAGCCAGCTCATAGGAATCCACAAACTAATGAATGTAAGAATTTTAATTCTGGTTTAGTAGTGGTTTAAAGGGTTCATAATCTCAAAAAGGTATTTTCCTCCTAGATTTTGCTTACAAAGCACAGCTGAGGGTCCTCAACCTCAGAGTCATTCACAGAGCTAATCAAATAATTGCTGACATTAGGTAGAAACTAGTAACAAAATGAAAGGTATATGTTAAAGATGGTTTTTACCATTAGTTTCCAGTGACATATTGCCTCAGTATAGTCAGAAATATGCATATTGTGGGTCACCTAAACCTTAATAATAGTAATGTCATCTCAGCATCGAGAGAACACCTACCCACTTGTGCTTTTTTTTTTTTTTTTAAGATTTATTTATTTATTTATACAAGCATTGGGTCCAGTCAAAAGCATGGGAGGGTAAGAGAATTCACCAGAGCCAGAGCAGGGAACAGAACAGGCAAACTTGACAAAGTACACTGCTGAGGGGAGCAGCGGGTGCGGCAGGAGAGGTCTGTCGCACCATGTGGGACCCTCACCGGCGGCTGGGGATCGAACCGGCGCTGTGGAGGCTGCAGGCAGCTTGGTAGCCCAGAGCTCAACCGCTGTGCCATCAGGGGAGGCCCCCTCTTGCGCTTTAAGACAGGAATGGGACATGCATTTGATCATTTAGTAGCAGGTTTACTCTTTAAGAGATGAGGGTCATATAACTAATCTGTGCTGAGTTCTTCAAAGTGTGTATTGGATCTGTCATGTCATCATTCCTACTCACTCAGACTTTCACTGTAGTAATAGAGTGTACACAAAGCATAATAAGGGACAATTTGGTGTTTTTTTTTAATTCTACCCTTCCTAGAATTTGAATATCTGTCACAGCATTATAGAAATAGACACAAGGTTTTCATAACTTCTCTTTCAATGACTGCAAGAATAAAGTGGCCATGCCACCATAAAAAAACTCTTCTATGAGGAACACTTAAGCAACTGAATTCTTCAGCAAGCAGCTTTGTTTATCCAAATGTGAGAGTTCATTTCCTCAGAATAGCATCCTGAAATGAAATTACTAGATCAAATGGTATGAATATTTTAAAACTCCTCTTTCTAAATATATTGCTAAATAGCTTTCTAAAGAGGCATTTATTAATTGACCTTACACCAACAATATATGAGAATTATAATTTTACCCCAGGCTTAATAAAAGTGCTAATAAGACCACATAACTTTTGTGTTTATTTCATTCCCAAAAAGCTTGACAATTTTTTCCAGTATTCATTTACAATTTTCTGTGTGTATTTGGTTCTTAATTTTGTTTTGTTTTGTATTCCTGTCAATTGACATTTTTTTCCCAACTCCCATCTCAGCTGCTCTCCTCACCTTTTTTATTTTGTATAGGATCCCATGATTCATTCAGCTACTGGGTAGATGAGAAGTCTCCAGTGGGACCTGACCAAACCCCAGCTATCAAACGCCTGGCCAGGATCTCCTTGGTAAAGAAGCTAATGAAGAAATGGTCTGTGACTCAGAACCTAACGTTCCGGGAACAGCTAGAAGCTGGAATTCGCTACTTTGATCTCCGTGTGTCTTCCAAACCAGGGGATGGCGACCAGGAAATCTACTTCATTCACGGGCTCTTTGGCATAAAAGTCTGGGATGGGTTGATGGAGATTGACTTGTTTCTTACACAGCACCCTCAAGAGATTGTCTTCCTGGATTTTAACCACTTCTACGCTATGGATGAGGCCCACCACAAATGCCTGGTTCTCCGGATCCAGGAGGCCTTTGGAAACAAGCTGTGCTCAGCCTGTAGTGTGGAGAGTATGACACTTCAAAGCCTGTGGGAGAACAAGTGCCAGGTAGGGGAAAACAGATGCACTTCCATGGGCAAGAACTTAACTCTTCTGCTTTTTCAGTATTGCCAGCTGCAGGGCAGCTCTCTCCAGGGTTCTGAGGCTGAAAAACATAGATTGTTTGGAATATTAAACATACGCTTACTGGTTCCTGGGCCCTTGGCTAGCTTCCAGGGCTCCCCTGGGCAGCAGTGAACTAGAATTAACATCTCTAAATATTTACAACTTGCCTGGGGATCTGTTTGGCGTGAAGCTGATCCTGAATTACTTGATCAGAACCAGCCCAAGGCCAAGTTGTGAAATTGTACCACTTGGCTTTACCATTTTCCTCCCATATAGTCTGGTTTCAACCTCCTAGTTCCCCCTCAGGGGTAGTCTATTCAATGCTGTCTTCAATTCAGTGAATACCTCACCAAGGTATTGACTGGCAAGTGAAACATTAGCTGACCAAGGCAGGTGAAGTGCTTCATCTCAGGAGGGTTAACATTTTAGAAGGTCATATTCACAGAGTCTGGGTCAAAGGGGAAGAGAGTTTAGGATGGAAGAACCAGTGAGAAGATCCAGGGTTTTAATGGGGTCCTAGGAAGGAGTCTGGAACACAGGGAGCAAAGGAAGTGAGGAGATTGTGTGGGAAAGTGCTCAAATTTTGAATCTGTTAGAAGGTATTGCACACAGCATGAAAATAGAACATGAGGTTTCAAGGCAGACTCCCAACTTCTGTTTAAGTGGAAACACCAGGCTATTTTGTACATCTCTACATACACTAAATGTCTTTCCACAGAGACTAACGAGGTTAACCCTTAGTAGCTATTAAAATTTATGTAAGCCATATTTCCTCATTAAAAACTTCAAAGTGATCTTTTACCAAATATTTATCACACCTCTCCCCCCAAAATCTAAGTTTATATCTGTTTAGACTCAGAGCCATAGATACTAACAGGTTTAACCTGGGGAGATTTCTTTCCTCCCATACAGTCTTTCTCTTGCAATATTAAATAATAGCATAACAATAGCAGCAGTAACAACTAACATTTACGTAGTCTTTATTCCATGCCAGCAGGTGGATCACCACATTTAATCCTCTCAACAACATAATAACTTTGTAATTATGCTCATTTTAAGGATGCGGGAACTGAGGCATGGAGAGATTAAGCAACTTGCCCAAGAATGTTGTTCACGAGTGGCAAGAAAGTGGCAGGATTCTGTCCCCTGCTGTTGGACTCTCCAGAGTTCCGCGGGCTTCTGCTGCTATCCCTGGCTATTCACATTATTTTGTTGACTTTCACAATTAGTGTCTAGAAGATGCTGGTAAAACACTTTCTCTGTATTCTTGAGTCCCAAATATAGAGGCTCTCAAAGAATAAGCAGAATGGGAAAAAGGGCCAGAGAGCCATAAGAGGGCTTTTGAATATTGTCATTCAGGTAAGGTTAAATTTAAGTACAACTAAGTTTGTAGCATGTGTGTTATAGTGTTGTAATTTTGTACACAAACTGTGTTCTGCAGAACTAAGACTATCATAGGTAGAGTGTGGGAAGAGGGGAGCAAAGCAGAGAGGGACCCAATGAGCTATGGTGGAGGATCGTGGGTGCCTAGATGATGGGGTAACATACCATACATCTTAAGAGGGGTAACTATTTATACCTCTAAATCATATACAGTGTTGTAAACCAGCAATGAAAAATAAATATAATAAAAATTGCATACTAACTTGCTTAGAAATCTGCAAGAGTAACACATGTCTTGGAATAATGATCTCGAGGTGATTTTCCAGCAGCACAGTGATGCTCTATGAATGTCTAAGTATGAGCTACTTCATCTTCCAACCACAAATACTCCTAAACTTATCAAGGAGACTGTGATGAAATGTCTGATAAAGGGGGCAAGTCACCCATTTGAATTCTGCCAGTTCCCTGTGCCCTTTCCTTTCCCAATGTTTTCCTGGTTGTATCTCTTAAAAATTAAACCAAGACATCTCAGTCTTCATCATCTCCCTTCTGCTGGGGCAGTGCCTTACCGGTAAACTTCAAATGTTCATTATGTAGTGAGCTTCCTTGTATGCAACCCCCTGAATATTTTTCACCACAATTTAATAGCAAGAAGGCAAATTTCATTTATTCAACATGCAGTTACCTCACAGCTCACATCTATATTAATGTACATAGTGGCTGTGGGTTTTAGGCCATTTAATCTGCAATTCACCAGTATTTAGTATCTTTATGAGAAAATATGATGACTACATAATACTAGTAAAATACAAAATAAATCAGTATACAGTTGCAAGATAAAACTCTCTTAGATGTACTACATATACAAAGAAAGGGGGTTTCTAATCAACCAAGTGAAAAATATGTAGTATAAATCTATGTCCCAGGGGTCTCAGTGAAGAACTAATCAGAATAAGAGTAGGTCGATGAAGAAATAATTCTTAAAGGAAATGAGATTTTAAACCTGAATTTCAGGAGAAGAATTGAGCATGAATTGCTAAGCTGGAAGGAAGAGTATCTCAGAAAAATACAGAAGAGTAAGGTAGCCCTGGGAAGAATTACTGCCCCCAGAAGTCTTTAGAGTACGAGTGGGTTTGCTCAGCCGACTACCAGCAGAAATTTCCCTTATAAACTCCAGGATCAGATTGCTCAAGTGGCTCTTTAGGAAAGGCATGCAATGTCCCTTTTGTATAATTTGTACTTCCTGCACATTTTCCAAGGGAAAGCGAAGTACAGCTCTGTCCTCTCGTCCCCTGATCCCCTAACACGCTTCTCAGCTACCAGACGGTACAGGAAATGGTCTGGTGGACCCTGTTGAAGGATCACACAGCCCTGCCTCTCCCACAGTCTCCATTCCACAGGCAGCTTGCAGTCCCCGACCTTCCAGATACACCGCCAGCAGGAAATCCTTCCCAATCTCCCAGGCAATCTGCTTACTGTGCGCCTGTGATTAACCTCATTAACACTCGTGTTTAGCACAGACCTCATTAGCAGTCAGTCAGACATTACTCAAAACCATTAAAAACAAGAGTAATGATCAGCCCACCCAGTGCATCCAGCCTGGTGCTTCCTAGCTCAGGGTTCCAGGGCGGTAGAGACCTTAGTCATGAGCTAATGCACACTGGAAACAAGACCACATTCAGAGCCCCCCTCCTCCAATGCCTGGAGATTATGCTGTTGGGCTAGCTCTCCCAGGATTGCAGTCTGGGGAGTGTAAACACATATGCTGGACCTTCCTTCAAGAGAGATTACTGGTGCCTGGAGGAGAAAATATATGGTGCTACTAAAAACCTAACCTGTAGGACTCTGAATTGGGACAATCAAAATAGCAATTCTCTGTCCCTCTGCTGCCTCTCATTAACTAATTAATGCTGTGGATGTGGCTTGCTAATTATTTTCCAAATCACCATCAGCCTGAGAGGTCCTCCTAGAGGCACATCGCCTCCTCCAGGGACGCCCTCCCTCCCTTTTGGGCCAGGCAGTTTCATTCAGTCAGTGGACACCATCCAAAATCGGCCTGCTCCCAAAGGAGTTCAATGTGTCGATCTCAAATCCTACATCTCAGGATTAATCTCGTGAACAGTGCTTTAATCTTTGCTTATTGATTTTTGTAAACACTAATCTTGAACTTCCACTTATGTTTATATTTGCCTTTCTTCCAGGTAAAACCAAGGAGTTACAATTCAGCCTTTTCCTGAATTTCTCTTCTTCTGTTTTGAACATTTCAGGTTCTTGTTTTCTATCACTGTCCCTTCTACAAGCAATACCCCTTCCTGTGGCCAGGGAAGAAGATTCCAGCCCCCTGGGCAAACACCACAAGTGTGCGCAAACTGATCCTCTTCTTGGAGACCACTCTGAGTGAGCGGGCCCCCCAAGGCTCCTTCCATGTCTCTCAAGCGATTCTGACTCCAAGAGCAAAGACCATTGCCCGGGGCCTAGTTGGTGGCCTCAAGAACACCCTGGTTCATAGGTAAGAATTTGCCTCCATCCTGTGGGGAAGGTTTGTTTTAAAAAGCAGAACAAGCAAACAACAACAAAAATTTACTGTGACGCCTTTCTGAATAAATAGCAGTAAACCTATGTAATTTGAAGATTTTGAGAAACAGCAAAACAAAAAAAACCTTATATTTGAAAAAGCTGTGTGTTGCAAATGGAGTGAATTACTTATAGCCAAAGAATCTCTCAATACTTGTTAAAATGTATTTATTGTCCTATAAGTGCTTTCTACATTTTGATCCAAAGACAAAGCGCTTTAAACCAAAACCAGTTTATTAAGTTCTGGCCCCAGCCATGTGGTATTCCTGTGCCTGACCTCACAGCCAGTCCAAGTACTCACTAATTTAAGAGACATTAAAGGAGACTGCTGTGCTGGGTGCTAGGGATTCAGAGATGGCCCTTTAAGGATTTGGGATGGCTTTCACCTTTCCATTGTAACAGAGCCCTGACAGCAATAAAAGATGCCACTACCATGTCATATTTTCAGTACTTCTTCAGAGCAAAACAGAGTCTGACCATCCCATTGAGCAGGGAAAGCTTCAGGAATTTGTATCAGGTGATGATTCTTTATCCTGAGCACCAGCAAATGATAGTTGTTAAGAAAGAGGATGGCTTATACCTATGTAAATGGATGCATGCAAGTCTGTGTATATGACTATGTGTGTAAACATGATGTCCATAAAGGGTATGTTACACATACAATTAGATAACAGGGCATGCCTTCCAATCCAACTGAGAAAGCACATGTGTTTGGATAATAAGAGATGTTTATAAGAAATCCCTTTGGTTTCTAAACTCAGGTGGTAAGCACCAGAGTTCAGATAGTGAAAGATTCATTTAAAAAAAAAAAGTGACCCTTTCTGGTTGGTTCTGATTTTGGATAGCCTGACTTGAGGTGATGGGAGTTCGGATGGTAGTTTGAATGGCAAAGAACACCTAAACTTTTCTTTCTTCATGAGAGTTTCTGATGAGATTGGCCATGAACAAACCCCAAAACCCCTTTCTGTGTGACTGTAGGGGCAGGACAGGACACAGTGCAGGTTTTCTGATCCCATGCAGACCGGGTAAAGGAGGAGTCAGAGTCCTCAGTAGTTTTGCAGGTTTTTTATTTGGGGTTCACCAGGCATATGGCAGGCAGGGGTGCTGGCTGGGGGGCTGGGAGGCTGGCAGGCCTCCCAGCCCCCAGCAAGTCTTCACTCTATTTGGGCTCTCTGGCCTTCTCTGCTTCTGCTTCGGCTTCTCCTTCAGGTTCTGCTGCTGCTGGCTGGGGCTGCTGGCATCACCCCGTGACGCCGCCCTTAAAAGCACAGTCTTAGCCCAGGTGAATCCCATCTACCTATGCCCACACCCTATTCCAGGTGCCCGCCATCAGGCATGCATTCAGGACAAGGATCCATCATCTATCCTGATGGCGGAAGGGCAGAAAAGCCTGATATTTTCTTTACCCTACAGTGACTTTACAAACCGTGACTGAATTAGTGGTGCTGAACTTGTAAAAGACAAATTCATGCACCATTGAAAGATCCAGAACCCTGATCTTTTTCTCTTTTTTTAAAATAATGTATTTTTCTCTGTGCACCCCATTTTCTCCGTACCTTTGGTAAATCTGTAGGATAACATTATTTATTTATCCATTCAATAGTCATTGAGCACCTAGAAGGAGCTTGGAGGTACGAGAGATACGAGATGAATAATGTAATCTCTGCCCTCAGGGAACTTTCAGTCTTGCAGGAAAACATAAATACACATGTAAATTTATATAAAGCCAATGAAAACTCATTCTTATAGACATCTGTGCAAAGTTATACTAATAAGGGGTAGGAGATATTTAAAAACAAGGTACACTGTATTCTGAATATAAAGTACCTTCTTGAAGATGATTCTATTTGATTTTATTTATTTATTTATTTATTTTTAAAGATTTATTTATTTATTTATACAAGCACTGGGTACAGTCAGAAGCGCAGGAGGGTGAGAGAATTCACCAGAGCCAGAGCAGGGAGCAGAGCAGACAGAAGGACCAAAGTACACTGCTGAGGGGAGCAGCGGGCGGCAGGAGAGGTCTGCGCGCCATGCGGGACCCTCCTCCGGTGGGCAGGGAGCAGCCGGGGATCGAACCGGCGCCGCAGAGGCTGCAAGCAGCTTCGAAACCCAGCGCTCAACCACTGTGCTCAACCGCTGCGCCACCGGGGAGGCCCGATTTTATTTGATTTTAAAGTAACCTTATGAGAGGGCACATTGGCCGTAACATGTTATTCTCCCCAATTAAGATGGCATTCAGTGAGGCTTTGTGACCCAGGCCCAAATAGCTGGTAAGAGTCAATAATATGACTCGATTCTGGACTTCTTGTTGTTGGACTATTTCCCTTTCCAGTGTTCCACGTGGTATTTTATTATGGGAGTTACTTAAAAAGGTTACTAAGACCACTTTCCTGAGGGCTGTGAAATGTGGTTTTCTCACCAGTTAAATGTGGTTAATAGTACCACACAAGATTATAGAGTCTTATCATGAAATGGTCTAACACAGTTCCTGGCACAAAGCAGGCATGCCATCCCCATCTGTAGGAAACCCAGAAAATCAGTGGACCAGCCTTGCTCTCAGGTGGCCTCAATGTCAAAGGAAAATTTCTAACCTTCTGCCCTGCAGACAAAGGGACTTTGTACCTTCTGGGACTCAGGTCAGCTAATATCTGGCTCAACCTTCTAAACATCTTGGTAAATGTCAGGAGTTAAGAAAACAAAGTGACTCCTCTTTATACTAGGTTCTACATTTCCCTTTCTCTGTAATCCTGCTTATGTGATCCTTGCCTTGGGGAAGGTTGACACATGCAACCCGAGCTGACACAGGATTCTTTGTCACCTGAGACTGCAGGTGCATGCCGTTTCCTCATTTCTGCACTCAGGTTCCAAGCAGATCCCCTGAGTTTCTGTTCTGGATAGAGTCAGGTGAAGTTGTCACCAAACCTTCAATTTCTTAATTCCCCAAATGACCAGATGGTGGCGCCTGCACTTTACTCAGAAATACCAACCTGCTCTTTGAAACAAATCTGAGCACTATCCTGCTCAGTATTACCATGTGGACCATGGTGTATTCCTGGTTTCCGTCTCCAAGGGAAGACTTTGTTTTCAGTCTTTCATTCTTAAGACACAATATTTTGTCACTTAAGCAGTGGGATATAACCTTTTTAGGAAAATTTCTTACCCCAGTGCCCAAATATCTGTAGTTTACAGTCTACCATTTACGATTCCTTCTCTAATGCCAGACATTTCCATTGTACTTACTATATCCCAGGTATGGTTCTAAGCACTTTATATCTATTATTTTATGCAATTCCAAAAAAAAAATCTACATGACATACTATTACATGGGGATATATACTATTATCCCCATTGTCTAGAGAGAGAGACTGGAGCATTTAATAAGTTATATATAATTAAATTAAAAGTATCGACTTTTCAGAAGCCCCAGAGAAAATTGGAAGTACCCCTGTGATGGTGAGCTATTAAGTGGCTATGAATATAAAAGTACTGTTTGATTTATGGGATGTATTTCCGCCCAAGGCTAACTGGAAAATCCACTTATTGTAGAGACCTGGGACTGCTAATAGTTGTCAAAATAAGAGAAAAAGAAGGACAAAATGGTCCTGAGGTTTTGATAGTGTTGTCTAGGAGAAGACCGAGAAGTCAGGTTTATGCTAAAGAAAGGGAGGGTGGCTTCCAAGTAGAAACGGAAAGTTGGCAATCAAAGAGAGTGTTTCCAAAGAAGAGGAAGGATCCCCTTAAAATAATAAACTTTGCTTATTTTCAATTTTGACCTAGAGCAAAAAAGATTTTCAGTCCCTTAACAAAAATATAAGTCCAATTGTATCTTCCTTAAACTCTATAAAGTATTTAGTGAGCTATTTTTACCATGGTGTAAGATTGTGAGTACTCTTCATTGCTCCCACTTCCATAGCCATGGGATTTTACACTGACTACGAATCAAAAGTATCACATTAAATTGTCATCATTTGTTTATGTCACTAAGCTGATCTGTTTCAGGCAAAACATTTGTCTATCACCTAAAAAGTCACTAAGCTGATCTGTTTCAGGCAAAACATTTGTCTATCACCTAAAAAGTCTATAATTTATAACGTAACACCAACAGACTATATTTGTGAGAAAAGTGGGTGAGCTTTGGTCTATTAAGAAACCATATATACTTCTGGAATGAGTGTATATCTGTATGGAAAGAGTGAACTTTGACCCATACTTCACACCATTTATAAAAATTAACTTGGATGGAGCTTAAATCTAAACATAAAAACTAAAACCATAAAGTTTTCAGAAGAAAACAGAAAAAAATCATTATAAATTGGGAGTAGGCAAGTTTCTTAAGCAGGTCACATAAATCATTTAAAAATTGATAAATTGGGCCCCATCAAAGCTAAGGAATTCAATTCACCAAAATAGCCCATGGAGAAAATTAGTAGGCAAGTTACAGCCTGGGACAAAACATTCAAAAATTATATTAATCAGAAACTAATATCCAGAATATATAAATAACTTCTATAATTCAAAAATTAAAAGAAAAAGAATAGGTAAAAGAATTGGCCAGCTATCCCAAAGAAGATATTCAAATAGCCAATATGCATATGACCAACTCTCCAATGAGATTTAGTTTGAAATTAAAAAATTAAATTAAAAAAATCTTAGAATGCCTAAAATTGAAAAGGACAGCCCCAGATTTAGGGAACAGTGTGAAGCAACCAGTCATACTTTGTTGGTGAGGATGTACAGTGGAATAATCTCTTTAAGAAAAGGTCCGCATGTTTTTTTATAAAACTAAATGTAAACCTATCCCATAATAATGCATTTCAGTCCTTAGTAAGTATCCGAGAGAAATGAAAATACATGTCCATGAAGAAAGACTTGCATAAGATTATCCACAGCACTTTTATTCATGATAGCCAATCTGGAAACAACCCATTTATCATCAACAGGAAAAATGAATAAACAAGCTGCAGTATGGTCTGCACAACAGAATACTACACAGTGACAATAAAAACTACTGATGCTTGCAACATGTATAAACACACAGAATACCTGTTGGATGACTTACACAAAGTTGTAAAACAGGCAGATTTAATCTGTGGCAGAAAACAATCAATATAATTTTTCCCTCTGGGAGGATGGGGCAACACTGTTGGGGAAGGGGCATGCAGAAGCTTTCTAGGGTATTGGTAATGCTCTCTACCTTGATATGGGTAAAAGTTATATGTAAAATTTTGTCTAAACTAGTTTCATACATTTTATTGAATGTAAGCTTTGTGTCTAAGGAAGAATAATCTGAAACCATCTATTGAGCCCTCATTAGTGGTATGCATGCTCAAGTATTTAAGAAATGTGCATAAATGTTTTCAGTTGAAATTTGTTAATATATCGGATGGACTGATGGATGGATAGAGTGATGGAGTGATGGATAGATATGTGGTAAGCAAATATACAGTAAAATGTTAATGGTAGAATTTGGGTGGTAAATACACATATTATAAATTTTTTTCAACATTGCAATATACTGGAAATTTTTTAAATTAAAAAAGTTAAAGAACCAACCAATAATTAAACCCTTGATTAATTTTTCCATGTTTTATTGATATCATATCTTCCATTCCAACACATAAATCCTGAAAATACAATTCTTTGATGGAATAGAGATCATTTCATCCCTGAAAGAGATTGACACTTCAATGAACAAACTTCTGAGAGCTTTTGCTTTTATTGACACACTTTTGTTACATTAGTGGAAAGGTTTTGTTTGTTTTTCCGGAGTCCTTCTAAACTGTACTCTCTGTCCCCTCTGTTTAGGAATCTTCCTGCCATCCTGGACTGGGTGAAAACTCAGAAGCCTGGTGCCATGGGTGTCAACATCATTACATCTGATTTTGTTGACCTAGTGGACTTTGCCACAACCGTCATCGAGTTGAATGATCTCCTGCAGGAGAATAGAGCTTTGGCTAAATGCTGATTTAATTTCTTATTTCACTTAACGTTGAATTTGTTGATCCAGGGTAGAGTTCCGAAGGGTTTCCTGTTAGGATGGCCCCTGGGCGGTGATGGTGTAATAAGAAGAGGAGGGAATTTTTTTTCCCCTTCTCATAGGGCCATTGGATAAAATTATAGGCCTTTTAATTGCATTTTTTTTCCAAATGAGACTTTTAAATAACCTAAGTCCAAGGGAAGAAAACATGTTTCATGTGATCAAGGTCAGAATATACCCAATGGCTCTTGATGCTGAATGTAATATGGAAGTGGGGTCTCCAAGTCCCATTGGGGTATTGAATATCCCCTGATTAACCCAGTTCTCTGTTGGCATCCCTGTTTGAGCCCATGAGAAGGCTGAACCAGAAAGGCATTCCTGAGCAAAAGAAGGATTCATTGCTGGTGTAGACAGCCTTTATGGGGTGGTTCATATACCAGCCTGGAGCTCTGAAGAGAGGATTGACCAAGGTCTGGTTCTCTCTAGGATGTTGAATGTCACCACTTCTTCCCTGAGAGATTTATTTATCACTAAAGTATTTCAACCTCAAGCTGTTCTTACGCAGCTTGTGCCGGTAACTGTTCACTTTCATTCTTTAGATAAACAGTGCATACTGTCCTCAGTGTCAGAAATGTGTTTCCCAGTTAGAAAACACTAATTCCTCCCTATTTCTTTTGGCCCTTTCTTGTAACTGAAAGGAACAAAGATAGAACTTTTTGGTGTGGGCCCAATAAGAGATAGACATGCATGTTTGTTGCATGCCAGATTTCTTTGACTTAATTCTGTAGCTTTCCCCAAAATGACTGCTAGGTAAGCACATGCATCATTTTGGCAAAGTCCTCTCCGAAGTGGGATCTTCAAGCCAGATTTTGGAATGACATGCCATTTTTGTCTGCCTTGGACTCAGACCTGGGCTGATGGAAGGCATCAAGTCCATGACACCATGAAGGCAGACACAGAATGCATGGGAAAGTGCAATGGATTAAGAGTAAGCTCCAAGTGGGTTTGGAGCCATTCTGTAATTCTTTGAAAACAAGACTACCTCGGGGACGTTTAAGATGACTTGTGTGTCATCAGGAATACCCAGTGTTGGAACATTTCCAGTTCGTGTCTTGATTGTTCTGCTTTCAGCAGGTTGTTCTGAGCCTACTAATCACCACTGCATGAGGGCTTTGAAACTCAATAGGAGCTTTTTTTTTTTTATTGATAAGAGGTGCTTAGCTATAAAAAGCCCTCTTGTTTTATTTATTTATTTATTCATTTATTTATTTATGGATTAATTCTCCTCAGTGCTTCTTACCTCAAGAGCACTCACAAAGGAGCTTCCTGAACCTTTCTCACCCAAGTCAGATGCTGCCACGGTCTTCCTCCCAACTGGACCATGTATCTCAGGACTGTGAGTGACCTCTGGCTCTGCTGTAGATGTCCTGGCTCTCTCCCTCGTGCCAGGGACTCATTCATGTGTGGGTGCAGTCCAGATCTGAGACGCTACTACCAAGCCATGCGCTGGGACAGAAGATGAAATGGGTCACGAAAAGACTCTCAGTTCTTAAGGAAGACCCTCCAGAAAATGTTTGAATTAGAAAGAAAACTAGACTTAGAAGTGTGTGCACTTCACTGGTCCTCAGAACTGTCAGAATCCCAAAGAAGTGTCAACTTCTGAATTCTTAAGGAGGAAAGATAATCATGGGATTTCTGATGGTTGTGTGTACTTACAAGACCATTGGACCACCTCCCTGCAGCTTTGCTTTCCTCTTCTTACACATCATAGATAAATTTTGCACGTCGCCCACAGTGGCAGGTGTCATTGGTGAGCTGCTAAGAGCATGTGCACACCCCCAACTCTTGGTCTTCCAGCCTTGACTTCTGTAATGAAAGCCCCGACCTTTGGCTTCCACAGCTTGAAGTCACAGGACAAACATCTCAAAGAAAAACTGGTTCAACTTTCCCTTTCTTGAACTTGAACTCCTCCCCAAAGTGGTTTCTGGGATTTGATTATTAACTTTAAGGCTTTCCCTGGAAAGGAGTGAGAAAGTGAATGCCCTCACTTTCTCAATTTTCTTTCAGTCCTGATATTAAACTCCAGTGACAAACTCTGAACCCCCTGGGTTCAGGGTTTTGTTTGTATTGTGATTGGTTCACTTGGGTCTTGTTTTTAATTCTTCATCACTTGCCAGGGACCAGATCATTTCTCTTCTTTACACTACTTGTTGCTTGGCAGAGATTTAAAGAGGCCAGAGAGCGTTATTCTGTTGTCTTACTTGAGCCTCAGCTTCGTCCAGGTGCTTGGTGCTGAGATGCCAGGTGTGCTGACAGGATGCCGGTGACACCCAAGGGCTGCTGACACTCAGAAATGTTTACTTGATTTTCTCCTTCAGTTTTAAAATATGAAGTTACACTTCTTTTGGGTTGGAACATTAAGTGCACAACAGCGTTGACAGGAGAAATGCCACAAAGCTTGCCGCACAGCACAGAACAGGGAGCCATGGAGGCATGCTGGGAGTCCTGCCCCAGGCAACAAGTGCGAACCATGCCCGCTCCTTCCTGTTGCTTTGGGTCACTGGGCTGGCTGGCACTTTGAAATTCAGCACAGTTGTTCTGGAAGGCCATGGGAAGATTATTTACAATTCACTCTTGAATTAGCAGAACCTCTGCTCCAAGAAAGAGTTGCTTGACCTATTGTAAAGAATATGTGCGTTCTGCTCCTTGACCTCAGGCCAGGTGAGAGAACTGTGTGATGGGACAGAGGGGAAATAGACTTATTCTGAAACTGCCAACAATAAAAATGGCGGCCCAGCCACATCACTATTCTCGCAAGTTCTAGGGACATTTCAGATCAAACAAGGTTATCAGACTTGCTCAGAATTAACTTTGAGATCACCTAATAATCTATTTGATTGAGCCAAAGAGGACCTCAGTTTCATAGGAGACTGAGTTTTTTCATGAACTCTTTGCACCATTTGCCACTAGCCACATTTCCCTGGCTTTGTGGCAAAGGGAACCCTCCAAGGTTTCCCTGAGATTAGAGTGTTGTTTAAAGGCTTGCACTTGGAGCTTGTTAGAGATACCACTGTGGTTTTATGAGTACAGAAGATAATCTTAGGATTGGAGAGAGAGGTCAAGATGGAATTGGTTGAAGGGAATGATAAATTATTAGAATAAAATTTTTAATTAATGACAGATCTAAAAGGATCATGCAAAAATTATATATATATATGTATGCTGTATCAAACTGTATAGTAATTAAGTTTAGTTTTTTTCCTTAGTGCTGAGCTCAGGTCCCTGAATTCTTGAGAACAGTAAAGTCAGAGTCCAAACCCAGGATCTTATATAAATTCAAAGAAAAGCACAAGATCTAAGCCCAAGTAATGATTGATGTTAAGAATCCTACTTCTTTCGTGAATTCATATTCAATTCATGAAGTGTACATTTCTGTTCAAGAAGACAATGTAGTGGAACATTCTGGAATTAAATACAGTTTTGTAGACTTGTCAGGATTTTGTAAATCTTACCAAGAAAGTGCTCCCCAAAGAGACATTATTATAGACCAGCTAGAAGGCTTGGCACTAAACTAAAGGCAGAGAAACAAGGAATTAAGACTGAAATAAAACAGCCTCTTTTCTGGGAAGGAGAAGGAGCTACACAAATCCAGGCCATCTTACAGATTTAGTTCATGCCGCAGTTGAAGTTTTTGTGATATTCTTGATTGCTTGACTGCAGACTTTTCCTGTTAAGTTCTGGAAAATAGAACCAACTGATTAATGAATGGGGCACAACCCTGAGACTCCCTCCTCTTGGCTGTGAGAGTGGTCCTGTGCTCTGTCTGCCTTGATCCTTTCATCTGGAGTAAAGATGCTGCCTGCTGCTTTAGTGCTGAGTATTTCTGCAAACCTTGCTCAACTAGCTCCCCAAATTACCAGGTTGCTTATTTGAGGTTAAATGTCTTCTCCCCCAGGTTCACGGCTGTGGTGGTTCTTTCTTGTGTGGCACGTGTGGTGAAATTCTACTTGTGCTCATTTCTTAAATGTGGTGTAGGATGACAAGACGAGTGTGACAGAGGTGCCTTTAGTGGTCAATATAATGAGGCAAGTTATGCAGAAAGAAACCTGCTGATAAGTGTGTGTTCCTAAGAGGTGAGCCTTTCCAGTATGGGCTGAATAGTCAGGTTATGCCAAGAGGAAACAGGTAGAAACTGATAATATCAAATTCCACACTGACAGGAAGTTTTTTTTGTGTGGCATAGTACATGGCTGTCCTAGTCTCACTGACTCTCCAGCAGCTGCCTTGTGGTCACCAGCATGGTTCTACGACTCGCCAGTGTTGCCGTGGAACACACGGGAGAAAACTGATTGGATGATAAGGGATTTAGCTGGAAACTTTTCCCTTAACTCCAAATGATGTCGAACAGCTCTTTACTGCCCCAAGAGACCCACTATCTCTTTATCCTCCGTGTTCTCCAGATTCCCGCTAGAAATTGTGACACCAGTGCTGCTAAATCTCTGAATTGGCCCTAACCTTTGAGAACTGCACACAATGCTATTAACATTGAACTGCACACAATGATATAACACAGTCTCAAGACACTGTAGAAATATTCTAAGATCATCTTTTGACCTACAGTGGATATCATATTCTAGTCTTTTCTCTGATGAACTTAATTTTAGGACTTTTCAAACTAATTTCAAAGGCACATAATTTGAAAAAAAAATACTCTGTTTCTGGAAATTGAATTCAATCCCATAGTCTATTGATGTTTCAATAGAAACATCAATAGTCAAGAGATATTTTCTATCTCAACCTGTCTCATCTCCTCCATAGAGTCACACTTCTCTTATCTTCTGGCCACCCACTATCAACTGCTGGTTGCTGTTAGTCACAGGATACTGGCAAAACTTACTGTAAAAGGCACACACATTCAGTGATGTTCAGGCACATTCTTATCACAGTGCTATTTGCTCCTTACTCTTCTCAAATGCATTATTCTGCCCCCTCTCTCACCCAGTCACTGGAACTATGCCTAAGCTTGGGGCCAGTTCTTCATTCAAATAGCAGGGTCTTGTTCCCAAGCTTTGAGCCCAATGGAAGCACAGCACTTTGAAAAGTCAAATAGGCCTTTATTAGCTCTGTGTATTTGCAGGTTTACAATTGTTGATAGTTTATAGCACTAATAACACTCAGTCATGAATGCATATACCTATATGATAAATCTTAAAACATATTCTAGGCACAGTGGTCCCTTGCTATTATACTAATTTACAACCTAATATTAATACATATTACATGCAAATTGTGATGCATTATTTGTATTGTGTATATGCCAACTGTAATACTTGACCTCACTGATCAGCAATTTGAAAATACTGAGTTTGTCATAGTGAAAATAAGTCTTGGTCAACTCAGATGATACATGAATCTGATAAATGCTCTGTTAGATATTATATTTTGTCTTCTGTGCTTGTTTTATATTACAGTGCATGCTGTTTGCTAAATTAGAATTTAAAATAACAAATTTTAAGGTTAGAAAATTTTGCATATATGATACTTGATACTCTGAAATGTATTTTGTGACTTAATTATCTTGTTCATGTACATTTCACTTGATATTTTCCATCCCTAAAAAAATAATTGTGCAGATATCTCTCTCTTTCTTTCTTGTTACCTGGATTAAACTGCTTAATTCAACTTAAAACATTGTAAAGCCAGATTACCTCATTTTAACTGTGAAAAAAGTTCAATAGATATGACATTGATGTCTTTTCTTGTATTTACTTGGAACTACCTAAGTGGAATTAAACCTAATAATAAATATAAGGATTAAACCTAATAATAAATACAAGATGTTGCAAGCACTTTCCTTTGTATGCACATTTTATTATTGCCCTACTTCTAATTTTGCTTTAAAAAGTTATAGATTTAGCATCAACGTAATGCCTGGTTAGAAGGTATTGCATGAAGTCTCTCTCAGTTGTGCCTGGCACATGTTGGAATCAGCTAAACATGCCTGCAATCTCCAAGATAAGCCACGCATGAAATGTGCACACAGCCTGTTGTGCTTTTCCAGGTTTCTTCCTCAGCGTATCAGCTGTTTCTACTACACTTAAACCAGGTCCAACCAACATTCAGAATTCACCAACCTTTGTCGCTGCCCCACATTACTGTAGTTGTCAAATGTCCAGAAATAGAACAATGCACAGATTATATGTTTGTAAGCACAGAGTAAATAAGACTGTGCCTGCAGTTTCTGTTGGCAATGAAGATTCCAATATTTTCCTCATTCTTAATTCTTTTTTAACAGAATATTTGAGACCACGTAATTTCAGTGAATTTCTCTTCTTGCCCTATTCCCCACAAAAAGTAGTGGGTTGAGGAGAAAGTCCTTTGTATGAATCTAGTAGCAGAGATCAAATTAATCCTAAGTAACCATTCATCTCATGGAGTTGAACATTACAACAGGTAATTAGGAATAATTATATTTCTGTTTAAGCTACAATAGCAATTAAATAATATAATCAATAATCAGAATTTTCTACCTATACTTTTAGGCCTTGTTTAATGAAACTACCATACTGTCCTCTTGGCTTTGGTAAGTACCATTTTCAATCATTCCTCCTGGCTTCAAGTTAAATATCCTGTTAAGTGAGAAGAACTTAAAAGTTCTTATAACAAGAAAAAATTGCAGCTGTGTGGCAATGAATTTAACTAGACTTACTGTGGTCATCATTTCATGATATATACAGATATTTAATTATATTGTATACCTGAAACTAATATGATGTCATAGACCAATATCTAGAGCTGGGTCCAAACACAAGCAAATCAGGTATAACCTGCACTGTAATTGCAAAGACACCAACCTGCTTCAATACCTGAATATTCAATCCATGTTCAGAGGGCCTCTGTAATACTGTGGCTGTGTCTCTATGGCAATTGACAATGTGATTCTATGACAGTGGGCTGTTACATTATGTATGACCTCCTTAATATCTAATCACATATTAATTTATCATTATAACTGAGTTACAATTATTTAGCACATTTCAGAAATGCACAGACCTGGGATTCTATCCCAAGTCTGTCGCACCCTGGCTGTGTAAACTTAGGTAACTGATATCTCTAAATATATCAGTATAAAGGTAATCACACCTATTATGTGGTCTTGGAGAAGAACAAATAAGAAAAATTATGGAAGTTCCTGTCTGGTATCTGGCACATAGAAAATACTAACCCATAGCTATTAGTTTTGTTCGTAGGGGCAGGGGCTTTGTACCTACCTCTTCCACATGGCCCCTAGCAGAATCCCTTCAATATGATTAACTGCTAACCATTGTGTAGACTGGTGAATGATTTTGCAGGAACTAATTAATTAACCAGTAAAGTAGCTAAGTTCAGATTGTGAAAGAAAAATTTGCCAAATCACTGGACCAAATCTGTATTGCTCCAACGTAGGATTTGTGCCACTGGTGGTCTGCCAGGTGATAGGGTGGAAGAGGGCCACATTTGTAAATAGGATTAATATCATTAATCACTTAATCTGATTAGGTGACAGGAAAGTCTCAGCTTAGTGAGGAAACCTCTAACCCTTGCGTATCTACCAAAAACAACAGGTAGTAGTATCCACTCACATTTAGTTCCTTTTGTTTTGCACTTACTTTGTGGCTATCTTCTTTTTGTAGTGAGTGATTCTGGACTCTCCAATAGTGTAATAAAATCTTCTTTCAACCTAAGTTCATTTTAAAATTTTAAAGAGTCTACCATGAACCATAGGTACCTCAGTGGTAAGTGAAATATAGTAAAATACATTTGAAGAGGTGTGAACCTGTACCACTGAGTCATATACCACTGAATGCTGTATACCAATGTTATTTCAGTATAAAAAATAAAGAGTTCACCATGAAGACACCACAGGAATGAAAGAAGTTTGTGGTCCTATGTAGGTTTTTAAAAATACAGTTGATTCTACCATGTGCTTTGGCCAAGAACTAGATTTGGCTGTGCTTTCTTTTAACTTCCTTAACTAACTACATGTATAAGTAATAGATTGAAGATTGCCATTTTTTTCCATACGGGAACTTTCAAGACCCCACTCCAGTCTTCATTCACTATCCATATTGTTTGTGGGATAGTTTAAGCCAGAAGAGAAGAGAACTGGAGTCACTCAGCACCATAGACAACCAGGGTGGGCTCAGCAACATGAAATGCAGAGAGCAAGCCCCATTTCTTGAAACTTGAAAATGATTCCTTTTCTGTGAATCCCTGAGGCTAAATTGCCTGAATGTCCTGGATTTTGTTGTATTTCCCACCTCCCAAAGGAATTCTTCTTGATCAGCAGTATGCCTCTTTGTTTACTCCTGTGTAAATCTGCTTACTATGACTGAAGGAGTGTTTTTATTTATTTATTTTTTTAAGATTTTATTTATTTATACAAGCACTGGGTATAGTCAGAAGCATGGGAAGGTGAGAGAATTCACCAGAGCCAGGGCGGGGAACAGCACAGGCAGACTGACAAAGAAATACACTGCTGAGGGGAGCAGCGGGCATGGCAGGAGAGATCTGCGCGCCATGTGGGACCCTCTCCTGTGGCCGGGGATTGAACTGGCTCTGCAGAGGCTGCGGGCAGCTTTGCAGCCCAGCGCTCAACCGCTGAGCCACCAGGGGAGGCCCAGGAGTGATTTTATTTCTAAAACCTAAAGCCTTTCCTTCTCAGAGATGATGGGAGGTTGCAAGGGAGGAGGGGCCAAAGCCCATGTACCTCATATCTCACCCAGGATGGCCTGAACAAGTGCCAGTAAACAAAAGTGCTAGTCAGACCAGGGTGTTTTCACAGCTGGGCAGTGTTTTAGAAGAACATGGAAGGGGGACACAGAGGTGTCAGTCTCTGTCCAGTAGCATCATGTGATTGAGAGAAGCCTTAAGCAAGCAGATGGCTTTAATCTTAGAGGCGTGGTATCTAAGTAATAGGAGTTATCCTGTGGAGAAAGCACCAAGAAGCAGAGCTCTTATTGCAAAAGGAGGCCACTGAAAGCTGTTCTTTGTTTAACCTAAGAATTTCACTGCCTTTTGACCTAATGATTTTCCTGCCTTGATTCTTGCTGGGAGTTTACTCAACCTGAGGCTAGGGAGCCTCATGTCTAGGCCCTTGTGAAATATAAGGGGATTTAAAAGAAGAGGTTAGATTGCCTTTTGCAGAAGCTCCCCCCACCAACAGCCTTCTGCGTGTAGGAACTTGCCACTCATCAGAGTAAACTGTGGACCCAGTTTGCCATGGGCCCAGAACACCCTGAGATGACTCACAAAATTTTAGATGTAGTATACTTTTTCCTGGAAAAGGATGTGTAGCATTCATTCAATCCTCAAAGGAATCTATGATTCTAAAAAGTTACAAACTACTGTATTTTAGGTACCTATGAGAATAAATTGTCACTTAAACATTGGTGAATGAGCAAAAACAATTAATATAGGCTAGCAATGGAAAGGCTTGTCCTTCTTTTGAAAGAAAAACCTGGATGGCGGAGAGGAGACGCTGAGAGTAAGATCTCCCATTAAAAAAAGTTAATAGGGAGGAAAAGCGGCAGGTCCCAGTGAGAACTGGGACACGGAAGATAAACGGGTGACGCCAGCGAACTGCCCGAAGAAGAAAGTGGCCATAAAAGAGGACCAGAAGGGAGGGAAGCGCAGAACCCTGCTCCCCTCCCCCGCCCACAGAGGCGGCACTCTCCGACCGGCAGAGAGGAGGGAAACAACACACTAAAACGACCAACAAGAAGAAACGACGCAGCAAGCGGGACTGTGAGTGGAAAGGAACTATTGCAGCCACCACACCCCGTGAACGGGAGCTGTGGAGAACCCCGCAGGATCCGCCGCTGAGGTGAGCAAACGGCTCCGGGCGCCATTGAAGAGAGGCCCCGCCCCCGGGGAGGAGACCAGCACCAGCACACAGCCCCGGGCCGCAAGGTAAGCCTGCGCTGAAAGGCGGCGCGCTGGAAAAACAGGCGCGGATCGCGGTCAGGATTGCGCGGAACAGCAGCGCGCTGGAAAACCAAGTGCGGATCGGGATCGCGCGCGGAAAAGCAGTGCAGTTGAAAAGCAAACGCGGATCCAGATCGCAGCTGCCCAGGTCCCTGAGCCTGCGACCTAGGCTTGCGGGGAAACGCGCGGAGGCCCTCGCTGAGTGAGCAGGCCCAGGCACCCAGGCAGGGGAGCGGGATTCAAAAGGCGCCATTCCCGCGCCACTGATCTGGGCTACAGCCTGAGTCCTGGAACTGAGGGCTTTGGAACTGACACCCGGGGCACGAAACTAGGGGCGTGGGTTCCCCACGATGGTGGGGCACAAGGCAGACACAGCACCCCAAAGCTGTTGAGGTTTACCCTACCATTCCCGCTCTATTCCCTGTCCCACAGGGTGGAAAATCAGCTCCCCAAGGGCTCCAGGAGAGATCTCTGGCGCCACCTAGCGACTTGAAGCCAGCAGAGGCGCCTAAAGGAGCCAGTGGCCAGCTGGGGAGTTAGCCCACGCCGGGCCCCTTCCGACCAGTAGTCTGAGCCCACAGGGGGAGCGAGCACCCACAGCCGGGGCAGACCAGGCGCGCAGAAGAGTGTGCCTGAGACCGGACGCACAGGGAGTGTGTCCCACATCACCATCTTAGAACAGGGACATTTCTTCAGTAAAGACTACCTGCAGAAGGCTTCCTCAGGAGCCAGAGGTGAGCAGGGGAAGTTCGCCCACGCCAGACCCCCTCTGGCCTGCAGTCCAAGCCCAGAGGGGGAGCAGGAACCCACCGCCGGGGCAGACCAGGCGCACAGGGGAGTGTGTCCCCACATCAGCATTTTAGAACAGGGACCTTT